TAACCAAGATAATAATAAATATGTAATATCTATGTTTATTATTTTTAATTTAATAATAATATATATCGTAACATAAAAATAAACCATTAGACGTGTATAATTACTAAATTAATATCTTAAAACTCACTAAAAATAACATTAAATTAATATTTTCCACAGTGAAACAAGTATTAAGCGTGGTGATAGTTTATATAAACATGACTCATAAACACCTATAATATGTATTTTATGGATAATTCATATTTATTGCATTAAAATTTAGGATATTTGTTTATTTTTTAATATATTAAATTTAAATTATTAAATCGGTACATATTTATAAGGGTAAATTATATAAATAGTCTCTGAATTTTTAGGGTTCTTGTAACTTTGTCACCAAATTTTTTAAATTTACAATACAATCATTAAACTTTTAGTTCATTTTCAGTAAGATCCTTGTCGTTACCTCATGTTAGTTTTAGCTGACGTGACACTTAGCTCCTGTTATCTCCTTCTTTTTTCTTCTTCTTCACACATACGTAAAAATAACTCTTGTTCACCCCACCTCTGGTTAGCGGTGGCTCACACCGCCATCACCATCGTCATCGGCATTGCCTCCTGACCACACCCGACCCTCGATTTATACTCACCATTGACCATTCGTCCTAAATTGCGAGAAGACCATTCGAACGCCCATCTCCTATCTCCGTCGTCGATGACCGTCACCTTTGGTACAAGTAGGAGTGCCGCCTCATTCTGAAAAAAACCTCGCTAGTCACTTGTCGAGAGTCACCTCCATTCACCATGGAGAGGGCCCCAAATCTCGTCAAAAAATCCCAATGCTTTTTTTTCTATTTTCATCGATTTTTGGTCGATTTGGCCTTCCGTTTGCCACACCGCCACCACCATTCTGATCAAAACCCAGTCGATTGTGTCTCCTCGCCGTCGTCCCTCCTCTGTTGGTTAAGAAGAAGAAGAAGAGGGTTAATGGGTTTACATGTCATGTCAGCTAAAACTAATGAGAGGTAATGATATGGACCTTACTGAAAACGAACTAAAAGTTCGATGATTGTATTTTAATTTTCAAAAGTTAGGTGACCAAAATGCAAGCCTCCTAAAAGTTCGGTGACTATTTATAACTTTACCCTATTTATAATTATATATAGATATATTTAACGTCATATTTGAGTCAATATTTAACATTCAAATTAGTAGATAGATTAACTAAGGATCCAATTGATAAAGGCGGAGTCAACAATACTAATTTGAAAATAAATATAATTAAAAAAATCGAGGAATAAAATCAAACTGAATTAAAATAGGGAGTAAAATCAATCTAGAACCTGAATATTTAGAGGACCTTTTAAATGAAGGGAAAAAGAAGCAGGAATCGAGAATAAGCTTGGGTTTAGAGCTGAGAGCATTTGCCTTGTTGCGTATATTATGCGTTGGAGAATAACAGCCAACGCATGCATAATTAATTACATATAATATTCTATAGAGATTGAAATATGGCATTATAAAAGAGGAGTTCCATGATTCGTTTCATTTTCAATTATGAAAAAATAATCAACGGTTGAAGTTTACGGAACAGAGTTGAATTGGAGAGCACAGTTTCCATAAAAAACCAGAACAATGATGTTTTATATATAATATATATACAATGGCCATAGTTGTCCCCCAAAATTACCCCCTCACTTTTCATTTTCTTAATCCTGGGGTCACAACTGTTTCCTTTCTTTTATGATATGATGATGCCTTGATTACATCCATCTTACTTACTTACTTACCTACCCTCTCCCACAAATGCCATAAACCTCGAATCGAAGGGCTTAAACGATGTTCCTTGTGGATTGGTTCTACGGCGTTCTCGCCTCCCTCGGCCTTTGGCAGAAAGAGGCTAAGATCTTGTTTCTCGGCCTCGATAATGCCGGTAAAACCACGCTGCTTCACATGTTGGAAGATGAGGTTCGTTTTCCCTCTTACATCACTTACCCTTTATGCTCCAAATTGCAACTGTAATTTTCGACCTCCGAACCAACTTCGATTGCTAATTATTGTTTGTCTTTATATATATATTTTTGTATCATTTTCTAGAAATTAGCAAGCTGCTTGATTATTACTGAGGTAATTAGTGATGTTGATTATTAATGAACTGTGTTTCCAGAGATTGGTCCAACATCAGCCAACTCAGTATCCCACATCCGAAGAGCTTAGTATTGGCAAAATTAAGTTCAAAGCATTTGACTTGGGAGGTCATCAGATTGCTCGCAGAGTCTGGAAAGATTGCTATGCTTAGGTAATCAAATGTTAGTAACGATGCCAATTTTTTGTACTGTTTGTATGGTTGATAACCTCGCGAACGTACTGCATTTGACAGTTTGTCATCTTAGCGTGAATATTTATTTGTTTTAATTGATTCGGACATTCACCGAATTCTGTTTTCTTTGAATTTATTTTCTAGTCTTACAATCTCAGTTGGCAGGACTGAGTTCTCATGTATGTTGGCTTTAAGTTTTACCGACTCTTCTTTTCCACTTGCAATTCATGTTTTAGTTGGCAGATTTTGATATATTTTGTCCTTGTTTCACAAGGGATTTCTGACTTAAACAGTTTGTGTTAAATGGCTATCAGATAAGCTGCAAAAATCTGATTTTATTATCATTTTTACTTTCCTGTCAACCTCCTTCTGACTTTTTCTGAAGTTGTAGGCTAACTCTTCGATGTCTGGTTTTCGGATTTTCATATATTTTGTGTAATACTTGAGCTATCTTTATTTTGTGATGTATGAGACAGCGAAGAAGAACATCTTTAATATTTCGTTTCAAATCATTTCATGCTGATGGTTTTTCAGTGAGATTGTTCTTCATGATCATCTTATGAAATGCTTAAATGGATGTTTAGCATATTGACTCTTTTCTTCCTGTTCTTGTCTTGGTTTAAACATGGCACTCAAACATAACCAAAATCTGAACAGTTTTGCTGTAAGTAGTAGTTTTTCATCTTTAATTAAAGCATATCTTCATGATATTTAATTTTAGAAAGATGGCCGAGTATTATCTGCGGAGATTTAGCTTTCCTTGTAGTTTGCCGGATCTTTAATTATAACATATCTTCATAATTTTGCCTCAAAACCAGCCATACCTAAGGGGAGGTCCAGAATTGGCAGCTGGAACATTAAGGTTGTATCGAAGAAATCTTTTGTTTTGCTTTCAAACAATTAAGGATTTAGGATTGGACTAGGTTCTCATAGCATTTTTACTACATGTAGAGTGGATGTGTTCATGTTGCCTGTCTCTCCCTTTGATTTTCTTTCTGACATACCTCTTTGTTCTTATTATTTCTTGTTATAATCCACGGCTTCATGGTCTTGAGTGAACAACCCTGATTTTTGTATTTTCCGGCTTCTAGGTGGATGCTGTGGTGTACCTGGTAGATGCCTATGATAAAGAGAGGTTTGCAGAATCAAAGAAGGAACTGGACGCACTCCTTTCCGATGAGGCCCTTGCCAATGTCCCATTTCTTATTCTAGGAAACAAGATCGATATACCATATGCCGCCTCGGAGGATGAGTTACGATATCATCTCGGTCTCAGTAACTTCACAACAGGCAAGGGGAAGGTAAACCTAGCAGACTCAAATGTCGGTCCACTCAAGATATTCATGTGCAGCATTGTACGCAAAATGGGATACTGCGATGGCTTCAAGTGGACGTCTCAGTATATCAAGTAGTGAAACAGCAAAAATGATTGGTTAGGAAGAAGTTAAAGACTCTGAAAACCCCATTTCCATCTCAGCACACTGCACACCCAACTTCAGGGAAAGAAAAGCCTGTATTTCATCAAATATGTTTGAAGTTGAATTAGACCCCAAGTGAGTTTAAATTTGGATGTGTGTGATGTACTAATGCCATTACCCTGTAAAATGTACTTGTGGCAGCAAGTCTCTGGTATTGTACTTTTGTGGATTAACTTCCATAATTTTCCCTGGAAAGTTCCGTTACTGCTAGTCGATTGGAAAGTTCAAACTAATGATTAATAATTTTTCGTTGATGACTTTATACTTATAACAATACTATATCATTACTTTAAACACGTGATATGTAGCATGTCATCATTTTATAAACGTGATATATATCACAACACTTTAGATGTATGACGTGTCTTATATCATCACTTTGAACACATGTCATATGTCAAATCACTACTTTAAATATGTAACATGTCATCACTTTAGACACATAAGATTTATCACGTCAGCAAAAATATTGATCATTAATTAATTATTCACATTCAATTAAGAGTATTTTGTCATAAAATAAAATGTTGAAATAAAAATACTTTAAAAATAATTATTTTTTGAAATATTAAAATGATTTTTATTTAAATATTAGAAATATTTTTTAACATTATACTAATAAAATTCAACTAAGATGTATTTTCTTGTCTTTGAAATCGATTGAACAAGCGTTTTAATTTATGATTGGAAAACCTTTGGATATACAATGCGCATAGATGGTTGCTCTAGATTCGGGTTGAGTTCACATTGAAAATCTTTAGGGAAGTTCTGCGGTAGAGTAACCTAATTTAAGGCTGAAAAATATTTTGAACACGTTTTGTTAATTGAAGAAAAAGTAAAAGGAAAATGCAATGCTTATCCAACACCAATATCGATGCACTCCCTAATTCCATGGTTATCAATGGATTTTTCTTTGAAAAATGTGGGCGGCCAGAAGATATCAGGTTATTCAGACATTGCAAGATACCAAGTCATACTTCACTTGAGCCAAATAGCGGTACCATTTGTTGGACCACCTAAACCCCACCTTCCATCCCAAACAACAAAACCTTACTTCCAATGTCAAAGCAAAAGATCCCATTCCCAGCATCCGCGTTTCCTCAACTATGAGTCCCCCAAAGTTTTTCCTTTGATTCGTTGACCCTTCCTCCTCATCCCACTATATATGTACCCAAAACGCAGCCTTTACATTCTTCAAGTTTCAACATCCAATACTACTAATTAAGCTACTTCAACTTCCGATGGGAAACGGCTCATCCAGCGTTAACAAATTTGCCAAGGTTATTGACGCTCAGGGGAAGCTGAGGAAAGTGAAGCTCCCGGCGAAGGCGGCGGAGATTATGCTTGATGAGCCTGGGCATATCATATGTGCCGTGGAAGATTTGAAACGAGCTCGTCGTGTGGTTGCTATGCGAGCTGACGATGAACTTTCGGTGGGTAAAGTTTACGTTTTGGTTCCTATAGGGAGGGTTCATTGCAGGGTTACGGATGCGGATATGGTTATCATAAAAGCAGCTTGTTGTGGTCGAAAGAAAAAGATAAGCGGTGCTAAGGTTTTACCCGATGTGATGGTGAGCGAGGAAGAGAAATATACGAATGGGATTCCTCCTGTTTCTGGGCACCGATTTGGGAATTGCAGGCCCTGGATGCCTGTGTTGGAACCTATTCCTGAAGTGCTATGATAATCTTTTTCTCATGATTTTTGTAGGGTTTGATTCTCACAAATGGATGTGATTTCTCATTTCCCTGAATTAAATGTTGATAAATGGATAGTATACTTGAACATAAGGTTTTGTGCTACAAATCTTTTGACCAGTTCTTTTAGATCAGATTTATAGTATCAACGAAACATAGTTAACTGACATATATGGATTTATAATATCAACCTCATTATTACTTATTTTTAAACAAAATATCTGTAAAAATAATAAAATAAAAGCAGTTCAAAAATAAAGAACGATATGAACATGTAATGATCGAAGTCGCTATTTCCGCTGCATCGTCACTATTTCAATTCCTTGAAGAAACTGCATCATTATGTATATAAATACTAAACAATCTTTTTAGCCATTGTATCATCACAAATATCCACAAAAACTATTTCCCAAAATGAAAATGGCTATTGCCAATGGGCAATGGCAGCGCCGCCTTTGTTCTCTTTTGTCTTTTACTATTGGGTTGTTTTGGTGAATCCTGTGACCCGTTTGCTTGATACCCCAAAGATGCAACGGCGACGAACTTTTCGTTCTGCAAGGTTTCAGTGCCGATATCTGATAGAGTGAAGGAGTTTCTAACAAGGTTGACGTTGCAGGAGAAGATTAGGTTGTTGGTGAACAATGGTGCAGCAGTTCCACGGCTGGGGATCGAAGGCTACGAATGGTGGTCTGAGGCTCTTCACGTAGTTTCCAATGTAGGCCCTGGAACCAAGTTCGGTGTTGCAGCCGGACTCACTTAATGGAGCCCCACTTCAATGGCAGTGTAAGCCAACAGAACGTCAATGATACATTCAATGTATCATTCATGATGTGTAAAGGAAGGTCATGTTGCAGCGTTATGTGCTCTTAAAATCAAGTCAACGGTGTCCCCACTTGCGCGGACCCTAATCTCCCACGGAAGACTGTGCGAGGTCAATGAAAGCTCAACGGATAAGATCTAAGATCATCATCAGATAGATATAATCCTGATATTCATTATGATCTGTAGATAACCGTTGGATGTTGGTAAATCAAGTTACTTCACTGCTTTTATCGCTCCGACATCACCGTACCGTCGCTGTCATCGGACCAAACTCTAATGTGAATGCTACCATATTGGTAACCTTGCTGGTCAATTCTAATCAAAATGATTTGTTCATTAAACTTTTTAATTCTCTTCTGTTGGTAAATCGGTTTTCTTATTTATGTACCATTAGGTGTTGCATGTGGATTACAAATCTCCTTTATAAGGAATAGGGGATTACGCGAAGACAATTCACCGGATGGGATGTACTGCAGATGTAGCTTGCCCTGATGAATTATTGAGTGGGGCAATCGAGGCTGCTCAGCAAGCAGATGCAACAGTTCTAGTTATGGTACTAGACCAATTAATTGAAGCAGAATTCAAAGACCGGACAGGGTTGCCTTTGCCAGGGAGCCAACAGGATCTAGTTTCCAAAATAGTCATGTGTTCCGAGGGTCCAATTGCACTAGTTTTGACGCTAAGAACGGCCCACTTATTGCAGCCATTGTATGGGCTGGATACTCTGGTAAAGCTGACGGAGCCGCCACAGCTGATGTACTACATGGAACAACAAATCCAGAGGGCAAGTTGCCAATGACATGTACCCAGAAGATCATGTTTCAAATTTGCCGATGACAGACAAGGCCATGCGTTGAAGCCCAAACAGAAACAGAACTGCTATTCATTATAAACTGTCAAAGCTATATTTTTCAGCTTCATTGCAATATTTCCCAAAACCCCTTGTGACGCACATAATTATGTGTGAAATTGTATTGAACATCACTCCTTCCACAAAACTTTATATTAGTTTTAGCCAAACATAAACATTTATATTATTAATAGTGAGATCGTGAAGCAGACATTGATGTCTCATTACTTCATGAACTGGTTCTCGATAAATGTTCAAACAGCTACTGTATGAAAGCAGGCTAAGATTTTCGGGAACTAATTCAAAATTTCAGAAATTACATAATCGATACGTATCTGTTTCTGATATTAGAAACTTTGACCAAAAACGGTAAGGCCAACCCCAAGCACTACGATCCAGCCTAATCCTAGTCCCAGTCCTATATATGCCAGCCTCTGCAGATCAGCACGTTCCACGTGCATCATTCCCTGATCATTCATTTATCCTAAACACTGAGCTTTACATGTGCCGAGACAAATGAAAATAATAATAGAGAGAGAGAGAGCACAAAAAAATAAAAAAGCACTAGCAGGTAGTAGGGTATTTTCCCGATATATCATCGGTGATCGGTAATATTATCGATCTAACATCGGTCAGATTATATTTCTCGATCTAACACCCTTAGTAGTAAAGCGTGCCCCTGCATCGCGTTATATGATGATTTGGCGCCACGTGGGGTATAGTGCGCCCCCTGTACCGCGCTATACGGTGAGCTGGCGCCACGTGGGTATAGCGTGGCCCCTGCAGCGCGCTATACGTCACGTAGGGATATAGCGCGGATCAGGTACCGCGTTATACCTTTACTCCTAATAATTTTATATAGCACGGGGCAGGTACCGTGACATACCTTTACTCCTGACATGATTTTATATAGTGCGGGGCAGGTACCACGTTTTGTATAACTTTCCTCTCTATAAATACCATTCTCCGCCGATTAATTTCTCACATCTCTCCTCTCAACTTATAAATTAATACAACAATTCCGTCAACGAGCCAATAATTCTGGCAATCTTCTCATATTTTATTTAGAAATTCGTGCAATTTTTCGTTATAAGGTAATTTTGTTATAATTTTTTTTTATTGTTTATTATGATTATTTGAAAAAAAATATTATACTAATTATTTTTAATTAATTTTTGTGTTTGTAAAATTGGAAAGCGGGAGCATACGTCGAAATAGTTTTGCGGTGCAGGTAATAATATTAAATTATATTATTTAATTTATTTACGTTGATGTGTAAAAATTTTATTGTGTTATATATTTGTTCATATATAATTTATTAAATCAGGTTTGTTTCATTTTTTTCCAGATATAATAGTGCCGTACTTTTAAACTCAAATAATGGCGCGACTTTCAGCTATTGTTTATTATGATGGTGAAATTCGAGAAGATGAAACCGGCGTTATTTTCGTATCAAATGAGCGTGTTAAAATATCATTAAAGAAAAACATAACTCTTCAGGAGCTTATAACAAAGATTTCGAGGAAGATTCATGTTGGAAGTTGTAGAAGAGTGTCGTCGTTGCAGTATAGATTTCCAACATCATTGTTGCCATTAACTTATACAGCGTTCGAACTTTCGAACAATGATGATATTGAAATGATGGTTGAAGCTCAAAGTAATTATTCAGACGCCGCTATTGAGATGTATGCACATTTTGTTCAAGTGCGTGTTGTTCGGGGTCAATCATTAAGCTCTCACTATGGGCTGACTGAACAAGTTGATCAAGTTGAGAGCCCGACGACAGTAATGTGTAATGATTTTAATGCCATAATGGGGAGACATTCATCCGCAACTCCTTATGATATGTACCAAGGTAGGTCGACGAACAATCCGTATAGCAACATCGCGTCCAGTTCAAGGGGAAGACATTCATCTGCAAATCCCTTTGACCTTAATATGGAGATGCCATCGACACAACCATCTGTGCAGTTTCCATTTGATGCGATAGCTTCAAGCTCTAGGGGGAGGCATTCGACTACGAGCTTTTTCGATCTCAATGTCGATATGCCTTCCAGTTCAAGGGGAAGGCGTGCAAGTAGTAGGTTCTTTGACCTAAATGTGGAGAGCATGGAGGAACCATAATCTCCACCAGAAGAACCGCTTCGTGAGCCTGGTGCGGATGGTGCTGAGACTGGACTGTTCATTGACCCAGAATCACCGCAATTCAACTCCGATGATGATGAAGTTCCAGGAAATATGGCACAAACTGACCCTCCTGCACAAATGTATGAAGCTGATTATGGTGCAATGTACGGGCCAGAATTTGCGGATATGCCTCATCTCGATGACTATGGGTATTACTCATCAATAAATAATGGCGAGTTATCTTTAGGCATAGAGTTTTCAAGCAAAGAAGAAGCGATGATGGCTATCAAAAATTACAATATTCGTAATTCTGTTCAGTCCAGAGTAGATCGCTCCACGACCGAAAAATATGTATGCTACTATGCCCAGTGCGAAAACGGATGCAATTAGATGGTTCGCGTATCGAAGAGGAAGAGGAAAAACAACAGATGAGAAGTAACAGTATACAACGGTCCTCACACATGTTGTGCTGGAGGGGTCAACCAAGATCATCCAAACTTGGACTCTGAAGTGATATGCCAAGCCATCATGCCCATGGTCAAAGCAAGCTCTCATATAGTTGTTGCAGTGTTGATTTCAGCTATACAATCGCAGTATGGGTACACTGTCTCCTATAAAAAAGCTTGGTTGGCAAAACAAAATGCCATTGTCAAACATCATGGCGAATGAGATGCATCTTACAACGAACTTCCAGGTTGGTTTAGGCTGGTGCGAACGTTGAATCCTGAGATAATTATGGACTTCGAAACCTCCTATGCATACCATAATGATCGAGTTCTTCACGATCGATGCCAATTCTACTGGGTTTTTTGGAGTTACCCACAGTGCGTTAATGCTGTCAAATTCTGCAAGCCTGTGGTCCAGATCGACGGGACTTTCTTGTATGAAAAATACAAGAAAGTTTTATTATTGGCAGTTGTCCAAGATGGCAATCGCAACATTCTTCCAGTTGCTTTTGCTCTTGTCGAAGGAAAAGATACAGTTTCTTGGGCTTTTTTTCTCCGAAATTTACGTGCACATGTTATCACGAGGGAAAACATCTGTGTCATTTCAGATCGCGGAGCTGGGATCAAAGCAGCAATAGAGTCTTTGGGTCCAATGTGGCAACCACCCTTTGTCCAACATAGGTATTGTCTTCGACACATTGCCGCGAACTACCATGGAAGGTACAAGAAGAATGATGAGCGTCAATTAATTGTGCGCATGGGTAAGTGAAACTTAGCAAGTTTGTTATCTTTCGATCGTTTTAATTTTGCAAAGA